GGCAGTTGGGCAGTGCCAGGGTCTGTCCCTTGTGGTGGTCAGGTGGCGACAATACCCTACCCCTCTTACAGGTGGTATGCTATGTGAACATGAACCTGATGGATGCTTCTGTGCAGCCCCTGGCCCTTCGGCTGCTGGAGAGTGTGACCTTGAGCAGCCCTGCCCTGGGCCAGCTGGTCAAGAGTGAGGTGCCACTGGATAGGCTACTGGTGCACCTGCAGGTGTAAGCTCTGGGGTGAGGTATAGATGGGGGAGCAGGATGAGATCCTGGGTGTTAAGCTGAGCCCACCCCTCCTCCTGCTATAGGATGAACCAGCAGCTGCAAACCAAGGCAATGGCCCTGCTTACAGCCTTGCTGCAGGGAGCCAACCCTACAGAAAGGAAGGTATCTATCTATATAGTAGCTGCTTGGAAGGATCAGCTGGTGGGCATTGTGCTCCACCCCAGTATTAAATCATTTAATTCCCCTTCCCATCCGCCTCAGCACATGCTTGACTACCTATGGCAGAGAAACCTTCGCCAGTTCATCTACAAGGTAGGAAACTAGGGAAACCCCTCCCCACGCCTCTTCTCCCAGTAAGCCCACCTCAAACCCTTTGTCTTTCCTCCAGAACATCATCCATAGTGCAACACCACTGGGTGATGAGATGGCCCATCACTTGTATGTGCTGCAGGCCCTTACACTGGGGCTGCTGGAGCCACGCATGCGGACACCACTTGACCCCTATAGCCAGGTTTGTCTTGGAGATGGGTGGGACACAGCTTGAAGCTTGGGGATAGCTTGAAGCTTGACCTTAAATCTATGATATTGTTCCCCCCAATAATGACCCCAGGAGCAGCGGGAACAGCTGCAGGCCCTGCGCCAGGCTGCCTTTGAACTGGAAGGGGAGTCCTTGAGCACGGGGCTGAGTGCTGACCGTCGACGTTCACTCTGTGCCCGAGAATTTCGCAAATTGGGCTTCTCTGTGAGTGACCCCTACCCCAAGTCCCCACCTTGGCCTCCATTCAGGTTATGACTATACCAGAGGCTATGGCCCTTTCTGAGTGCATGTGCTCCCACCCGTAGAACAGCAACCCTGCGCAGGACCTGGAACGTGTGCCCCCAGGCTTGCTGGCCCTGGACAACATGCTGTACTTCTCCAGACATGCACCCAGTGCATACAGCCGGGTCAGTTACCGGGTAGGGGAGTGGGGATGGCAATAGCCTCACCTTGGCAGGATCCCTGTGGGCTTAGCCAAGACTGTCCCCATTCTCTGCTCCCACTACCCCAGTTCGTGTTGGAAAACAGCAGCCGGGAGGACAAACATGAGTGTCCCTTTGCCCGGAGCAGCATCCAGCTGACTGTGCTACTGTGTGAGCTGCTCCGTGTTGGGGAACCTTGTGAGTGGAGCTGGGCAGTGTATCTGGGGACAGGGGACGGAAGGGCAGAGAGGGCCAGGGGCTGCACACACCTTCTCCCTGAGCCCCTCCTGCCCCCCCGCTCCAGGCTCCGAGACAGCCCAGGACTTCTCGCCCATGTTCTTCGGACAGGACCAGAGTTTTCATGAGTTTTTCTGTGTGGCCATCCAACTGCTAAATAAGACCTGGAAAGAGATGAGGGCAACACAGGAAGATTTTGACAAGGTCAGTGGGGTGGGGTGGGAGGACTGGGAGGTCAACGAAGGAGGTTGCTCTGAGGAGGGCCCCAGAGCTCAGGTCCCAAGCTGAGCTTAGGGTGGCCCCAGGTTATGCAGGTGGTACGGGAACAGCTGGCTCGTACACTGGCCCTGAAGCCTACGTCCCTGGAGCTCTTCCGTACCAAGGTGAACGCGCTCACCTACGGGGAGGTGCTGCGGCTGAGGCAGACAGAACGACTGCACCAGGAGGGCGCACTGGCCCCTCCCATACTGTGAGTTGGTAGGAATGGCTTTCCAGTGCCAGCTCCCACCTACTAAGGTGCCCCAGGTCAATCCTGATTTGTGACTCCCCACTTCCCACCCAGAGAGCTGAGGGAGAAGCTGAAGCCAGAGCTCATGAGCTTGATCCGCCAGCAGCGTTTGCTCCGCCTCTGCGAGGGGACTCTCTTCCGCAAGATCAGCAGCAGGAGGCGCCAGGGTCTCTGAGTGTGCTGAGGAGAGGCAGAGGGTAGCTGGGTTGGACCCAGGGCCCCCTCTTCATCATTCCTTCCTTCCCTCTTCCTTGTTCTCTGCACAGACAAGCTGTGGTTCTGCTGCTTGTCCCCAAACCACAAGGTGCTGCAGTATGGGGATGTAGAGGAAGGTACCAACCCACCCACCCCAGAGAGCCTGCCCGAGCAGAGTAAGCAGCCAGGGGTCTAATACCTGCTCTCTCCAGATGCCCCATGCCCTAGGGCTGTCTGGGGCCCCAGTGATCAGCCCAGTATTTCTTCTTGCAGTCCCTGTTGTTGACATCAGGGCACTCCTGACAGGCAAGGACTGCCCCCATGTCCGGGAGAAGGGCTCCGGGAAGCAGAACAAGGTATATATAGTGGGACCAGCGGCTTCCTCTTGCCTGCCTGYGCTAGTCCATGCTCAATGTCCCTGCTTTCTGCTTCCCTAGGATCTTTATGAGTTGGCTTTCTCCATCAGCTATGACCGCGGGGAGGAGGAGGCATACCTCAACTTCATTGCCCCCTCCAAACGTGATGTGAGTATCTGGGTGAGGCTGAGTGGAGCAGACGGGTAGGGGAGCAGATTGAACAGTCTCTCATGAAGCTGGCCCCATCGTCCCCAGTACTATCTGTGGACAGATGGGCTGAATGCCCTGCTAGGCAGCCCTATGGGCAGTGAGCAGACCCGGCTGGACCTGGAGCAGCTGTTGACAATGGAGACCAAGCTGCGATTGTTGGAGCTAGAGAATGTGCCCATCCCCGAGCAGCCACCACCTGTGCCTCCACCCCCCACCAACTTCAATTTCTGCTATGACTGCAGCATTATTGAATCTTGACAAGCTGGCCAGGGGCCACAGCTGCCACCCCTGTGCCAGCCACAAGGGGTGGAGGGTAGAGAAACATGGGCAAAAATAAAGTCAGCTTGGCTCTTAGGTGTGTGTCAAGCTAGCTCTGAACCTTGTAGGCCAAGCCACGAGAGTCATCCTCTGACTTCAAATTTAGTGAATGAGATACGACAACAAGGTAGGACTGCAAACTTGAGCAGCTACATTTAGGGGGCTTGCGCTCTAAGTTGGGTTGGGATAGGTTGGGGCTGTTGCCCTTCTTCCAGATGAGTTCTTATCTTTCCTCAGTGTGGGCCTGCAAAGAGAGTAGCTTGTTGTCTAGGATCACCAACCAGCTGAGAGAAGTAGCAGGCCAGGAGACAATGCCCTAAATGGATGTTTCCTGGGAAGCATTAATAGGACCCTAGTCTAGAAGCTCTGCTTCCAGAAAGCTCCTGACAATCTTACCTCAGTCTTCATCCCTGCTTGGCTCTGGCCCATGTTCTTTGTGGCACTTGGAGGCCTCTGGTGACAGGTAGTAAAGGGACAGATGTAAAACTGGGCCTGCTTTATGCTGAAGGACAAGCTCAGATTCCAAAGGGCATCCCCAGGCTTGAGGGAGTATATGGGCTGATCTGGACGAGGGAACTCTGTGCAGGAAGCACTGCASAGTTCTGATGAAAACATAACTTAGGAGCATGAATGACATGGGGGCTGTATATAGGTGAGAGATGTTGGGCAGATGAGGCAAAGTGTGTTGGGCCCAGCTGGAGTCTGTGGCCACAGCCTCCAAGCCACTGAGGCAGAGTAGAGCATAGCAGCCCATGGGACCCACAGGGCAGGCTGAAAGCTACCACCATCCTGACTTCCTTCTCCATGCCACTCATTATTTCTCCTTCCCAGTGTCTCCTCAAAGATTGTGTTTAACAGTGTTAACCATCAGTGTTTCACCTTGAAAGCAGATGAAATGGCGTCTCCTATGGAGAACATGCTGGGGGAGCATTTGCCCCCCCTAAGTTACACTTTTGATCCTTGGGTAGCCAGGATGCCCATGCCTAGATTCAGAGATTTCCACCATGCTTAAAACAGTTTGCTCTTGAGTTCAAGTTGGAAATGGGAGGACAGGGATTCCAGATGCAGTTAGTCTTCCAATACTGCCAATTCTTCTTTCTCAATGTTTCTCAGGCAATAACCTACTGACTACCAGCCTCTAGTCTTGTTCTTTCAGTCATCTCAATACCTGCTACTACAGATGTTTTCTTGAATCAGATTTGAACACACACACACACACACACAGGTGCACACACTTTATATTCTTCAGTGTTTCTCTATTATTCATGGGCTAATAGTCAAGAGTTACCATGAATGGGCACTAAGTTGAGCCACAAGGATGGCAGATATGTAGTTTTTAGCCCTTCCAACTGAATGTCTGTGGCCTGCAGGGTTCTCAGAGCTTGGTCCAAGCTGACATTCTCCCTGAACACCATCAGGGCCTATGTGTACTCTCTGTCATTGTGGAACCTCAAAGTCCCTTCTGCCCATTTCTGTCTTGATTCTTTCCTTGACCCTCCAGGTCAAGTTCATTGCTTCCCTAGGCTTGTGGTTCCAGGTGCTTCTTTCTCTGTTCATACATACCCTGTACACTGGACTGTCCATGTTGGCTTTTTGCCTCCCTAAGGCCTGGGCACTGGGAGAGCTTTGGCATCTCTGAAAACCCACATGAAGCACAATGCCTATAGGCATTTGCCTGTAGGCATTTGAAGAGCATTTGCCAGCTGCTCCTAGAACTGATAAGAAGATAGATGGACAAAGTATGGGGACACATGGAGGGTCAGCTTGACAGATGTTTTTCAGAGCTGCTGTTGAGAAGTCACTGGTACTATTTAGGTGGTTAAACTAGATGACCTTTAATGACCCTCTATTCAGAGATGCTGTCCTATTTCTTTCCCTTCTTTCCACCACTTTTCAAGATGGCCTCACTGAATCAGGCATCATCATCAATTGCTCCAAGGGCTTGGCCTGGCACAGTGCGTTTGCTTTAAGGCACACCTAAGAAGGTTGTGGTGGGAAAAGCCTTTAGGCCTCTGGACTTTCCTACCAGGTAGGGAAGAAGCTAGGACCTGGTTGAGGTCAGCCAGTATGGATCAGCCTTGAGGTCACTAAAAGGGTGTCTGTAAGGCTTTGGGTCAACTGAGTAGGGAGGGAAAGGGCCCTTTCATCTGAAAACTTCAGGCAAGAAGTAAAATCTTAAGTTTTTAATCTTGTTTGGATTTACAGCAAAGTTGGTGGCTTGGCTGCTGCAGTGCTTATAGGTACTGGAAGAATAYGCCTAGGGAGCAGGTGGAGCACATGCTCTAGGTCTGAGAAATCGGGGAGGGAGCAGAAGGTACACGTGCACCCTCTGTCCTTGTGGAACCTCAAAATCCCTTCTGCCTCTGGGGAGCTGCTCCCCAGCTCCATGCTCAGTCTGCCTGTGGGCTGGCCTCCTGGCAGGGACAACAGAACCCTGTGGCAGCAACATGTAGCTGGCATTCCCATGGGCCCAAGGCAGTGAAATGTAGTTGGAAAGCCACTGCTGCTTGACTGTGGGGCAGAAAGTCTCTTGGGATGCCCTGGGTTGGTCCCATCACCACACCTAGATAGGAGGTCTATAGCAAAAGGAGGTAAGAGGCACTGGGGCATAATCGAGGTCCAGGAGCCCAGGTTAGGACTATGGGGATGAAGAAGGCTGTGTTACAGGGATGGTTACTGACCTGGCCTCAGAGTGTTAGGGTCAGGTCAGCCCCTCCCACGAAGCGGGACTGGACACAAGTCACCTGAGGCAGCTGAGCTTGGAAGCGCCTGACAGCTGCCACGTTGATACCCGGGCACATGGCCACGTCCAATACCCGGATCTGCTTGCATGCTTGCCTAATGGTATCCAGAGTTCTGTGGGGAGACTACCAGATGAGTGCTTGATGCAGCATGGGGTCCCAGCCCAGCCACTGCACCTGACTCCATCAGCTCAGCATCATAATACACACTCACTGCTCTGTGAGTTGACTGCAGCTGGACAGGTTGAGGTGCTGCAGCCTTGGCCAGTACCCTGCTGCCTGGGCCCAGCCCTCGTCGCTGATGTGGCTGCAATGACTCAGCACCAAGTGTTCCAAGCTGGGGCAGCCTCTGGCCACTGCCACCAAGCCCATGTCTGTGAGTGCTGGCAATAGGCTCAGTGACAACTGCCTCAGCTGGGGGAACTGCAGTACCTGCAAGGATAGGGTAGATGGAGCATGATATTGGAGCCCAGAAACCTTACAGTTTCTCTGCCTTTAGTAAAGGGAGTAGCCAGAAGCCTAGGAGAAAGGAACTCCAAGGAACTTTTTTCCAAAATGTGAGTTGGCCCAGTTCCCTGCCTCCAGCCCCAGGATCCCCAGCCTGTCCACACCTTGGCCAAACTGGCATCAGTCAGCTTGCTGCAGGCTGTCAGGTCCAACTCCTGCAGGGCCTGCAGTGTGAGCAGGGATGAACTCTGTAGCTTGGGAGAAGCATCCTCAGGACCTGAGGCCTGATACTCCAGCTCTGGGCATAGCTGTGAGGAGAAATGCTCTGCTTCTCAGCTTCTTCCTGAGTTTGCCCTTAAATAATCTTAGAGGGAGAGGCAGGAAAGTAGCTGTGTTCATAGACCATCCCACCCTTCCTGACTTTGAGGGCCTCATACCTGGGGACACATTGCAGGCTTTTCACTTGATTCTTCCAGCCCCAGAAGCCCCCAATCACGGAGCTCCTTGCACCAAGCCAGGCGCAGAACAGAGAGGTGGGGGTGGTAGGTGCAGATGGCCTGCAGGGTCCGATTGGAGAGGGCCACACAGGAGGACAAGTCTAGCACTCTAAGGCTTGGGCCCAGTGCTGGGATCAGAGAAAGCATTGAGGCATCCTAGGAGGAAGTGAGGGAGGAGAGCACAGAGGAGCAGCTTGTTCCTGTGCCACCAGGCTTGGTGGGGTCATCAGCAAGGGCCTGCACTAGGTTCTTACCCACTAGCAACAGGGAGCTGCCAGAAGGTCCTAGGAAAGAAGTAACATGGTTCCTATGTTGGATTGAAAGTTTGGAAATGGACAGGGTAGATTGTCAGGGTGGGAGATTTAGAGGGGGTTGCTAAAGGACAAAATGATTGGGGCAGGAAGGAAGCAGATGGAAATTTCTAAGGCAGCTGCCCAGTTTGTTCTCCCTGCCCTTTCTGAAGGGGTGAGCTGAGACAGCACTCTGACCATAGCTCATTGGGTCAGGGGTGGACAGCTGACCCTCACTGAGCCAATCAGACATGCTACYGCTAGAATTTGAACCAGAACTGTGGGGTTGAAGTGGGGGATAGAGTGTCACCTGCCAGAAGTCTGGTGGCATGTGAGATGATGGGCCACATCATGGGCCAGATCACTTGTGGTGTCTTGGACCTCACTCTGTCTGGGCCCCAAATGGGCTCTGGGGAGGCATGCCAGCAGCACTGTCCACCTAGGCTCTTGTCCTCTTGCAGACTATGACCCAAATTCAACTTGAACTACTACTCTTTGGACATAAACACTGGGTAGTTCCTCCCTGGGGCCAGAGACCCAGCTCCCCAAGCCCCACCCTAGGAGGAAGAGGGGCATGGTATGCTCACCTTCAGCGAAGAGCAGTATGCCAGCCTGAGGGAGGTCAGTGGGGGTGGAGCTCCACTCACCGAGCCCAGGGCCTGGGCCAGTTCCCGCCCGCTCACTAGGCAGCACTCAGCCATATCCAGGCTCTGCAACTCTCGCAGGCCCCCTAGGGCTGTACAYCCTGCATCTGTCAGCCGTTGAAGCTTTCCCAGGCTGAGGTGCTGCAGGTGCTGCAGGCCACGGCTCACGGCCAAGAGTGCCCCATCAGTCAGTTCTGAGCAGCCACTGAGGTCCAGGGAGGTAAGACCTGGTTGCTGGCGGCACAGGGTGGCCACAGCCTCTGTGGAAAGGTCCCGGCAGCTGTGCAGGCTCAGCTCCTGCAGCTGCAGCCCAGCTACCTGGCCCAGGGAATGTAGGGCCTCAGGTGGTAAGCCAGTGCCACTCAGATCTAGGGCACGCAATTTGCCAGCTCGCTCTTTCACAAATCGCAGCAGGTTATGGAAGGAGAGTTGGGAGGGAGAGTAGTCCTGGGGGTTGATGGAACTCTGAGCTGGGCTCAGCTCAAAATTGAGGTGGCAATAGGCCAAGGAGAGGCGCTCCAGACTGGGGACACAGCTGCTGAGCTGGTTGAAGCTGAGATCRGCCAGGTTCCGCAGGCAAGCCAGCTTGAGCTCGCGCAGGCCACTCAATGCCTGCCGGACACGCTGGGCCATCTCTGGCTGAGCCAATAGTGTGCCTGATGTGAAGAGGCTGTTGCAGCCACTGAGGTCAAGGGTGCGCAGAGCTGGGCATCCCAGGATCAGGGCCACAAAGGAAGCCTCTGTGGGACTGCCCCCACCCAGGCACAAGCTCTGCAGGTGTGGGCCTAGGTGATAGGCAACAGACTGCAGCACCAGGTGCGAGGTTGGTGAGCCATCCAGGTTGGTCAGGCTGATGCAGGAGATGCCCCTGAGGCCCAAACTYTTGATGGCCAAAAGGGAGGCAGAAGACACTGGGATGTTGTACCGCACATTTGTCTAAAGGGCAGAAGCAGGCCTGGGGTTAGCCCTCTGACCAGAAGTTGATGACAGGTCAGGAAGGGCCTTTCCACAGTGAGGACCTACCATGGTATAGGGTCATGTGTGGCTGAGGGGAGTGTGGGTGGGGAGTGTGGGTAGGAAGTGGGAGCTGGGAAGGTATGTCCTGCTGGGGTTTGAAGATGACCACCAAGGGCAGGCCTGAAAAGCTGGTGAAGGACAGCGCTAGATGCTGAGGGAGGGGAAGGAACAGAATGGGGAATTGGCATGCTGAGCACAGGAGGGCTGTGATATGACCTGGAAGGAAGTCCAGTGAAACTACACAGGGTAGAAGAACAAAATATGCTGGTCCCTAACCTTTGGTACCTCAGAAGGAAGCCCTGAGATTCATGGACCCAGCCTCCTACTCCAAGAACTGTATTAGCTAAGCAACCAGCTTCTCCATGACCCCTTTTTAGAGACCATATAAAGAGCCTCAAGAACAGCTGAAGACAGGAAGAAGTGAAGTGGGCAGTACTCACTCAGGCACATGAATGTTTGTATTATTATTATTATTATTATTTTAGTACTGGGGATTGAACTCAGGGCCTCATACATGCTAGGCAAGCACTCCAACACTGAACTACTACACCTCTAGTTCCCCTCCCTCTTTTATTTCAGTAATAGGGATGCTCTACTACTAAGCTACATTCCCAGTTCTTTTCATTTTTWAATTTTGAGACCAGATCTCACTAAGTTGCCAAGGCTAGTCTCAAACTTGCAAACCTCCTGTGTCAGCCTCCCAAAGTGTTGGGATTACAGGAATATGCCATTGCACCCAGCTTTAAAAAAAAAAWWTTTTTTTGAATTGAACCCAAGAGTGCTGAGTCATGTCCCCAGACCTTTTTATTTTTTATTTTTAGAGGGCCTATTTATTTAAGAGCTAAATTGCTTAGGGCCTCCCTAAGTTCTTGAGTCTGGCCTTGAATTTGTGATCCTCCTGCCTCAAGCTCCAGGATTATAGGTGTGCGCCACCATGCCCGTCCCAGCTAATATTTTGAAACAGGGTTTAAGTTGTCCAAGCTGGTCTCAAACCTTCAATCCTCCTGCCTAAGTCTCCAATTAGCTGATATTACAGGTATGCATTTCTACCACCCAACAACAACAAAAAGGGTTTTGTGTGTGTGTCTGTGTATGTGCACGCACACATACACACACACACACACACACACACAGGCACAAACTAACATAGGTAAGGTTGCCTGGAACTGGGCCCTGAAGAATCTCTGTGGCACAACTCTAGAACACACATCTATCTCTCCAGGTGAGGAAGGATAAGCCTCCCATTTTGTGGGGGCTGGATTTAATAATTTAACAAGTCTCAAAGGTACCAACGAAGTTGAATTGGCTCTGCCACAGAGAAGCAAGGAAGAGAGAATGGGGAGTGCATAGTTGGACTAGGGTGGGACCCAAGACATGAGCTCAGGGTAAGTGGTAAGAATAAGTTGGCTTGAATAGGAGTTTGGGAGTCTCTGGCTAAGGGAGAGTCTTTCATGAACCTTCCCTGACCTTGTGCCAGAGGGAGCCAAGGGGAAGCCAGTACAATTTGTGTGGAATAGGTCTGTGGAGAAGAGAGGGAGGGGAAGGAACAGAGTGGAGAATTGGCTTAGCTTTTAAAATTCTAGCCCTGTTGCTCTACCTCTTGCCCAGGTTTCAGGCACACAGAATTCAAAGAAGGCTCTWAAGTGTGAAATATGATATGTCAAGAACTATGTAATGTTTTGAACAATCAACAATAAAAATTAAAAAAAAAACAAAGAAGGCTCTTGTTTTAGCATCAACAAGGTCCTAATACAGGAGAGCTAGCTCCTCAAAATACCTTCCTTTTCAGTAACTATAAAAACAAGCCTTTGTCCCCTGATTGTACCCCACAGAACAGCACCAAAGGAAATGAGAAAGGCAGAAGTGACACTGGATGGGCTCTTGCAAAACCTTATTGATAGGACTCTCCCAGGAAGCATGGAACCCATTCCTAAGTGGGTTCTGCCCCAGGTGGAGGCAGCTGGCCAAGGCTACAGTGGTRGGAAGGAACATGCATAGAGATGGGTACTAGTTCCTGGTTTCTCTCACAGTAGATTGGCTAGGTTCTCCTTCCAGACCATACTTCCAAATCATGGTCCTTCCTGGTGAAAGGAGCACTCACCACAGATCCCCTTATGGTGGGAGGATAGTGGGGACTCCCAAGGGCCTGGGTCTCTTTTTTAGATTTAAGGAGAACTGGAGAAGATTCCAGTGTGTCAGGCTAGGGAAGGAGATGAAAAGATCATAGAGAGAAGTTTGTAGAAAAGAAAGGAAAATTATGCCTCCAGCCACTGCCTAACCCTACATGAGATGAGTCAGTCTGAGGCTGAATAAACTAGGGCTAGGGGAGCTGGGAGCAGCTAGGTGGCTCAGCCAGCACCTGCCCCACCACTCACATATGACTGAGAAGCCCAGATCCCTGCAGGCCCCCAGAAGACACAAGTGCTCAGCCTCTTTCCCCTCCTTAGAGCCTGAGCAGCCAGTAATGTATCCTTTCCCACTACCTCCCTATGAACAAGGTAGACAGACAGCCAAGGAAGGGCACTGGCAGTCATCCCAGGGCTAGGCTACACCTGCTGCTGGCAGCAAAAACCCACCCCCAAAATAGGCAGGGCATGGCCTGAGGACTTCCAGTTATTAGGAAGGAGGCTTATGACTAACTGTGGTCCCATACGGTTTTCATTGGTAGGGTGGGGGCAGCCTCTAAGCCTTCACCCAGAGGCCTATCCTGCTCCTGAGGTCAGCTGGACTTTAAGTGTGGAAGCCCAGGAAGAGCCTTTTAGGGAAATTTATCTCTTTGGGGAGTATGGCAGCATGTGAAAGCAAGCCTCCTGGGATCTGAACTTTAGCTCTTCCTTTGCCCAGGAAGATGCTTCTAGAGGTCAGAGGGGAGACTGCAAGGGCACCTGCTCCAGCTTCAGCCACCCCACGCAGAGAGGTCAACTGGGGCAGGAAAGGACAGTGGAAGGCAGAAGCTGAGCTGTTTTTCATTCTTGCTCCACAGTGATCAACTCAGTAGCAGCAATCAGGGTTCCCCAGGGCATGGGCAGGGCCTGGGTGTGTGTGTGCTGCTACGCTTGCCTGCAGTGAGACAAACTGGAAGTAAGTGAACAGTGGGTCAGGTCAAGGGGAATAAGAAGTCACTAAATTCAGCAATCTATCCTGGCCTGGTAGGACACAGGCCCTGGCCTGGCCTTGGTAGGCCAGTGTCTTCCACAACACAGTAGCTGGGGCACTGCCTTCTCATCAACCTGCCTACACCTGGGCTCTGAAAGATGATTCCTGTTCACGGGGTTTTGCAGATTGTTTTCTGGAATATGGTAGTGCTGAGGTGTGGGCAGTGCCCTGGATGCCTAGGTGTCTATGGCCTGGCCTCCCAGTGCCCCCAGCCCAGTGGGACTGAGCTTTGCAGAGGTATCAAATAAATCTTTTTGTGGTGCGGGGTGCCAGGGCACTCTATCACTGACCCACACCCCCAGCCCTACTTTGTTTTTTATTAAGAGACAGGGTCTCACTGAGTTGCTTAGTGCCTCACTTTTGCTGAGGCTGGCTTTGAACTCAGGATCCTGCTGCCTCAGCCTCCAGAGCCACTGAGATTACAGGCGTGCACCACTGCATTTGGCCCAAATAAATCTTAATCAACATTTTGGAGGTTCTGATTAGCTGGAGCAGCCCTGTGCTATATTGGTGGACTCCAGGATTCCAGCTGCTGACCCTAGCTTCCTTCTCTCTTCCTCCCTTCTCCTCCTCCACTTCATCTACACCCAGGGGCTTGACTGCCCCCTCTGCCCTCTTCTCCTTTACTGGCCTCTATGAGTCTTACCCCTCCACTGCTCCTCTTCAGGGCTTATTGCCTTGCCTCCCTCACACTGCTGAGCTTGCTGTCCTTGCCTGGACACAGATGATGAGGCCAACTGCCTCTTTGGAGTCTATGCTGGGGATACAGAATGCTACAGAAAGCCAGGGTATTCCCTCTTTCCTACACCTCCAGCATAAGCCTCCTCCATCCTGCCTCCTTTCATGTCCCCACAAGAGTTCTCCCCAAGTCCACCATCTTCATCTCTGAGCCTCCTGCAGCAGACCCCCCTCACTGAACCTTCTCAGAGATGACCTGTTCTGCTTTAAAAAGAAACAAAAGCCATCAGTTGCAAGGTCTCTCCCCTTTCCCTGTCATGTCCACCAACTGCCTCCCTCTACTGTCCTTTGGGTTGTAGTCAACCCCCTTCTTTTGGTCTGCTAAGTTATTCCCACCTTCACTTATGCCTTTCTACTGCTCCTTCCTCAGAACCCACAAATAACAACAGTCTTAAATCACACAAGCTCCCTTTATCCTCTCCTCACTTCTATTTCTCCGATTGTAGTCAAGCCCTTGGAGACACAAGGGAACACCCACATCTGTATCTGGCCTTCTAGTTCTTCCTTGCCTCATTCATTAACTCTTTACCACAGCCCCCACACAGTCACCCATTCCTGGCAACAGCTTCCCTCCAGCAAGATCACCAACAATCCTGGAGTTCCTTCTCGGTGTCCTCTTTGCCATGCCATCTGGTATGGGTGGTCAGGAGCCATTCCCCTTGACACTACTTCCTAGTGGGGGTTCTGAGACTGCCTTCCTGGCTCTCCTGTAACTTTCCAGCCTGCTTCTGCTTTGGGGGTCTCTTCTCACCAAAGAAGAGAGACCCAGTCCAGTCCATATCCATATCACCCTGAATATGCCTGATCTTGGACGTAAGTACCTGGATGGCAGACCCAGTCCACAGATTAGTGAGTTCCTTCTGGTTTGTCTCACCTAATAGCATGCGTGTGTCATGGACATGCAAGTGTATCAGTGGCACATGTATGTCAGAGGATATACAATCTTTGTCCTCTTCTGTGTGCCCCTGGGCATAATATACTTCACCCCATGGGGCAATCTTTCTAACTACTTTCTTTCTGATCTG